CCCTCCTGCCTTTGTCCTTTGGCTATGACTGCCTCTTCAGAGCCTTCCAGCTCTCGTTGAAACAGACTATAAGCCAAGAAAACCTGCAGGTACTAGAAGCTCTGTTATTTGTTCCATCACTAAGACTTAATGGTGTGGGCTCAGAAGTTGTTCAAGCAAAGGGTGTGTAGACGCTCCTCAACCCCTGAGTGCCTTCAGACGTGTGGTTCCAGTGCTTCTGTATAGGTTTTAGATGGTAAAACTCCACAACCAGCCTTGCAGGTCATAGTTCCAAAACCAGTGGACTATTAGAACATGTGGGCTTTGCCAAGATCATCTCACACATCTTGATTTACAGAACAGGTTTTGCCAGATGGACTTGGATGAGAAATTCCAATCAGAAACAATCTTTCTAACATCATTAGACGGTTTGAGTGAAATGTCTTTTTGAACTCAGTAATGTACCTGTTTCCAGTGACTGGTTAATGGTCTGTGAGGAGAGCTGGAGCCATTTGCCGTGGCCCTCGCCGACAGACAGGGTGGCTGTATTTATCCAGAACACAGGTGAACATCCAAGACGGGCCCTGCTGCTGTTGAATACAGGCTTCAAAACTGAGCATAGGATACAATTTATTAAATGCCACTGGGGCTTTCATTGCCCCAGTGTCTAAGTCACAAGGTAGTCTTGTGGGATAAAATAGGAGTGATCAGAGTCTGGTAAGCTCCAGCAGCTAAGAAGAAAGGCAGGTCATTTTGAACTGGTTGGACACAAGATAGTTTTTATCATCTTCATTTTAGAATTGAGACTAGATTTCTTACTGCCTCTGTTGAAGGCAAACAAAACCTGATCTGAACCCAAAGGGGTCAAGAAGCTTGAAAAATAAGGAAGCTGTTTCAGCGTAGTGAGCTCAAGTCTTTTCACAGCCTTCATCTGGGCAGGTCCTGCTTCAGGCTGAGTTCCATGGCCAGGCAGGCAGGGTACAGTCCCACCCACAATGGGTAAGGGAGCCCCCAGCGGGCAAAGCATCCTGCCACCCCGAGGTGCGTCTGGCTGCAGTCTTGTCTGTGAATTAACACTGGCCTGTACATTCGTCTCTTTTCACCTCTTAGTCTGACTATAAAACCCTGCAACTAATTGCTTGAGATTTTACAGAGCTCTAATAGCCGTTTTCAGAAGTGGTTATGGATGTTTCAAGATACCCGAGATCATTAGGGCACCTTCCTGGGTAAGAGAGGATGCAGAAAATTTCAGCACTAAATATTTAATAGGGACACTGGGAGTGTTTGTAAAACACGGATGCTCTGAGGTTCTGTTTAATGCGTCTTGGGTAGGACTTGGGTATTGATTTTTTTATTTTAAGTTTGTTTATTTATTTATTCCATGAGAGAGAGATAAAGACAGGTGCCCCCAGCAGGATCTGGATGCTGCTGTCCACTCCCAGCCTCTGCCAGTCAGGGTCACAGGCATGTGCATGGTCACATGCACACACCGAGCTTACACAGGGAGACCTTGGGACACGAACCCAGGGCTTTCCCACATGGCCTAAGCAGTGTGGAATGTTGCATTACTGCTGTGCCACTGCAGCTGGCCAGTATTCTAGAAGTTTCTCAGGTAATGGTAGTGTACAACCAGAGTTGAAAATGATGGCTCCCAAATCCACACAAGTTGGACTGGATTGAGATCAAAGGTTGACAGTAGAGGTAGAAAGGGGGGCTTAGATTTATTCCACTCAAATAATGGTAAGAAGACTTGAAAAGGAAAGAAAATGGGCCAAACTCCTATAAGCCATGAGCCTCTGGGACCAATTAGACCAGAAGGCTGGTTGCAGGGAGAACTTCCTTTGCTTGGAAATGGTGAATTGATTTGAAAGTGAGGAGAACAGGTGTAGTCATGGAGATTAGCATGATACTTAGCAGGAAAGTAAATATTACCTTCTGTCAAGTCTGTATCTACCCTTCTCTTGGGGGCTAGGCAGTTTCTAGCTTGGTTGAGGCCAGTGGCGATAACCAATGTGAAATGAAGCAAACTCACAATCAAAAACTGCCTGACAGGCAAACAATGAATGAATATGGAAGTGACAACCAGCCCATCCCTCTGAATATAATATTTTTATTAAAAGAAAATATCATGCAGAAAAAGGGGGAAAAAGTTAACTTTCATAACCCCATCATCCAAAAATACCCTCCATAAATCCTTCTGGACAGATCTTGAGAGAAAGTAATAATTTTTTATAAATGGGATCCTGCCTGATTTTTTTTTTTTTAACATCTAATGCTGCACTATGAGTCTTTTTGCTCCATCAGTAAATAGGCCTATATTGGCTTCCTATAGTGTTTCATTGCACAGATGAGCCATTTTTTAATCCATCTTTGTTGATGGGCATTTAGATGATTTCTAATTCAAAGCTATTAACAATGAGATAAAGCACCTGTACATGTGCCTTTGAGATGTGCATCCCGCTGCAGTGATCCGCTGCTTTTGTTACACGGCAGCCCAGGGAGTAAGGATGGCAAAAGCCACGTTCTCCCATTGTGCAGCTCACTGCTTATTGTATCATAATTCATCCGTAGTTGCTTTTGTGTTTCCTCTTACTCCTGCCCAGACAAAGCCCTAATGGCCTCTTTGGTCAAGGGTAGCATATGCTGTATTAATTTGGGCCACCTTTTCTAGTTACGAGAATGTACAGTTTAGGTTGCTTTGGAAAGTCCATTGGCCATCAGCAGAATGGTCTCTGATTCTAAATAGCTAGTGAGAAACCCAGGTTGGCTGTGTCCTTTGAGCTGCTTTTATAACAACAAACTTTTTAAAAAAGAATCATTTATTTAATTTTATTTATTTTTTTAAGAATTATTTTATTTAACTTCATTTATTTATTTAATTTGACCAGAGGGGAATACAGAGAGAGAAAGTGAGAAAGCAAGCCACCAGATCTGGGACTTGAACCACAGTTGGCCATATGGGAGTCCAGTACCCTTAACACCATGCGACCTGCCAGCCCCTTATTTTATTTTATTATTATTGTTATTTTAAATTTGCTATAGGGCAAGTGTGCTCACAAGAGAGAAAGAGAGAAGAAGTGAGAAAGCAAGACACCAGGCCCGGGACTCAAACTATGGTTGGCTGGAGTCTAGCGCCTTAACCACCACACTACCTACTGGCCCCTACAACAATGAACTTCTAGTATACATTCAATTTCCATGAAGTGATGGGGAAAACTTTTACTGCCTCATTAAAAAGAGATCATTTTGGCTCAGCCTCAGTTTGTGCAGTCAGGAGCATACTGAACCACAGTGCTGGAAGCCACGTAGCCAACCACAGGTTCGGATCCCCAGCCCGGTTAACTTGAAACATGGTGTTTGTGTGTGCCCAAGATCCTAACAAGCTAGTGAGGCCTGGGAAGATTGCATCACCCTGTGAGAGGCTCACTTATGTATGCACTCCCTCTCTTCTCTCTTGCATGCCGAAATATGTGCTCATAAATAAAATTTAAAAGAATAGGTACAGACAGTAAAACATAATTTATATTTAACATTTATTTCTCCAGATTCCAATAAGGATCTGCTGGGGCTGGCACAGAAAACTCAGGAAGGATTAAGTGCAAGGTCCCTGGCTTGCAGGGGCCGTGTGCATATGGAGGGCCTGATAGTGGTAATGCTCCTACATGTGGCCTTGGGAGTTGAACTGCCAAGTCTCCTCAGGACTGTAAGGGTCAACAACTTTGACGCGATGGAGAAAGCTTCCTATGAGGAAAATGTGTGTGTAATCTCCTTAGATGGGTAACACTGAAGCTATTCTGGTAAAAACTAGAGGAAGTTGAAATGCCATCATTAACCAGAGGAAAACTGGCTGAGGCAAATCCCGGCCTCTCCTCCCATCTGTATTGTGGGTCATTTTCCTAGCAAAAGAGTAAAGGGGTCGGAGCTGACAGGTGGCGTGGTGATTAAGTTGCTGGGCTCCTGCATGGCTGACTGCAGTTTGAGTCCTGGACCTGGTGGCTTGCTTTCTCACTTTCCCTTTCTGTCTCCGTCTGGGCAAATTAAAAAAAAAAATAACAGTAACAAATGGAATTAAATAAATAAAGAAATAAAGAATTCTTTTTTAAAAACAAGAATAAAGGGGTTATGATTGTTGATTTATAATTCCAGAGTTCAGGTGATGGAACTCTTAAGACCTATGTGGAATGAGAGAGGCCTCGCTATTATAAATTGTATTTTTGCTAGATTAGTGGAGTCGTGGAATTATTGGAGAAAGTTGATCATAACTTGAGAAACTATTAATAAGGAAGAGGCAGTTGATAGGTTCACTGACTAGAAGGGTCTTTAGATGTCAACTAGTTTGGGAGTTTTAAGTTCTTTCAGGTACCTCTTTAAAAAGCTTTTGGAAACTGAGACCCCATTCCCCAGAAAAATACACTTTTATGCAGAAGCACGAAGGTTATTATACCATCCCAAGCAGCATGCACCTTCCCAGCCTAAGAACTTATGATCTGGGGGCCAGTGGGTAGCATGGTGGTTAAGGCGCTGGACGCCCACATGGCCGATTGTGGTTCAAGTCCCAGATCTGGTGGCTTGCTTTCTCACTTTCTCTTTCTTTCGCTCTCTGATGAGCCCACATGCCCTGTGGCAAATTAAAATGTTATTTAATAATAAAGAACGTATGATCTGTTTTATTCCCTGGTTTCTTTTTTTCATGTTTCTTTCTTTCATGAGAGAGAGAGACAGACAGGCATCCCCAACAGGATCTTCATACCAGGGTACAGTCCCAGCATCAGCCAACATGAATCACAGCCTCATGTGTGACACCCATTGTGCACACCCAGTGTATACAGGGAGAACCCAGGATCCAAACTGGACACCTTCCCATGTGGGCCTAGTTGAGTTATCATGCCATCTGATTCCCATCCCTGGTTCTTAGGGATAGAATTGCCAAGGTTTGTAGAGCAGGGTAACTATGAGGCCTGTGTAATCTTACTGCTGCTCTTTCCCTAAAGAAATGTTTCCTTTTCTTTTTTTTCTTTCAGCATTGGCTGGATCATTCCAAACCCATAAAAAAGCAGATGAAAAGTAAGTAAACAGAATTAAGCCTACCCATTTATTTTCTTTAATCTGAGGGCAAACTCCTTTGTCATTGTTTTATAATGTTATGTTTTCATTAGAGCTTGAGAGCATGTTAAAGTAGATTGAATTTTTTAAAATAATTATTTATTTATTATTATTATTATTATTATTATTATTATTATTGTTATTTAATTCACCAGAGAGAGAGGGTAAGTAAGAAAGCAAGCCAATAGGTCCAGGACTCGAACCACAGTTGGCCATATGGGAGTCCAGCATCCTTAACCACCACACTACCTGATGGCCCCAATAGATTCCATTTTAAGTGGATTATTTTTCATTTTTTAAGGCTGGCCAAAGGTTTGAGTTTAAAATTTGGGCAAGAGTATATAGTAAATACTCAACAACTACCTGTGCTCTGATTTGAAATCAGACACCTCAGCCATTGAGAACTGATTAATATACTCTTTAGAAACATGACTTTTCTCTTTCTTTCTGAGAGAGAGGCACATGCACTCTGTAGAGAGACAGAAAGCGAGAAATCACCCCCCAGAGGGGATGGCCACAATGCAATCCCTTCTCCTCCATTCTCCTCTCAGGATTTTGGGAATGCGTGCACACATGCCTGACATTAGTTTTCAGCCACCAGGTCTGGGACTCAAACCACAATTAACTATGTGGGACTCCAGCGATGTAGCCGTTATGCCATCTGCTGGTCCCCGTATTCACTTTCTAATGAGTTACAAAGTGGATTCAGAACAGGGAGGTGGAGGTAGTCAGGTAGTCAGGTCTAGCGCTCTCATTTTATAGGTGTTATAATGACATTTCTCCATCATTATTTATTATCAGATCATTTAAAAGTGCTTATGTTCTCATAAAAGTACTTGAACGTATTTTTACTATAGTTTAAATGATAGAACACTTTGCTGTTTCTGTATTACTTTTCTTTAGCCCACTTTGTACTTTGTGAAAAGCAGATGTCAGTTTGGAGTATCTTGGCATCCAGGGTGAAAGTAATGTCAGCTCTTAGCAGTTCCTGCAAATTATTAGGGTTTCCTTCCACAGAGAGGTTACTAGCGAAATCATCTTGGTCACACACAAAAGTCCATTCCAGGTTTCCAAACTAGGGTTGAGAAGAGTTTCCTAGCTTTGTCTACACTCTGTGCCCTTCCTGTGCCATGCTGGATATGTTATAGATTTAATGTGTTTTTCCTTTTGTCCATTCTGTGATCTTCAAAACTGGGGGAAAAAACTTCTTCAACCTTCCATCTCCCAATGTTTAGTCGGACCTGCGTATGCTTTGCACTTTCGAGTTAAATACTATTCTTCAGAACCAAACAACCTTCGTGAAGAGTTTACCAGGTAGGACATCGTGCTAAACAAGATTCCCACCCAACAGCACTCTACATACAGAGTCATTTGGGGCCTGCTAAATTGTAGAGTTACCTCTCCTTCCACCCGCTGCTTGTGTTTCTGAGTGAGATTTATTTGCACGTTTCCTGTGGTTCAATATTTGGTCCACAATTTTGCTTTAATTTGAAGTTTTTTTCCTTAGTGACTAGAAATTAGAATGTTGATTTTTCTCCCTATACTTCTATTTCCTTGGCCTTGGGGTAAATTATTGGGTTGTCTGGAAAGTCATGACGCACATTTTGCATAGAAAAATATGTCATGACTCTCCCGACAACCTAATAATTGACATTCTATGGTGTCTTATTTTGTCTTTGCTACAAAAAGGGAAGACAGCTAATGGGCGAATGTCTCTGTCCAAAATTGGCATCTTATTTTTTTTAATTGACTGCAAAATAACCTCTCACTTGTTACAATATAAAAAACCCTCTCTTTTAAAAACCTACACTAATAATGATGAAGTTGTTAGAATCCCTTCATGTCATCTTTCAGCCCCATTAAATTTTATTTCATGCCTGCCTATATTTTTCTCTTGGAGTTCAGAAACAATGTAGGAGGAAAGAAAGAACTTGAATAATGTGTGAAGTGTGGAGCTTTTCTCCAGTACCCCTCTATCAGTGAAATTCTCCACCCAGTTTTTTCTTGCTTGTGGTAACCCCAGAGCCTCCTTGTTTTTGTGTGGATGGCTGGAGTGGTGGCATGGTCCATGGTGATAGCCACTCGTTTGGAGATGGTCAGCTAAGTAACGCTTTAAAGACTGACTGGTTGCCACTAATCCCCCACTGGGAGGCTACTGGTCTTCTATAATTAGATTTTCCTGCAGGAATGAGGAATTCTGGCTATGTCAGCACTGTGTCCCCTGATACCGCTACACAGAATAATATCCTGAGTTTTGGAAGCAAAGTTCTAGGGTGCTTAAGCATGTCTTAGGAAGCAGGAACATTCTAGAATGTGTTAGAACCTTTAGCTCCCCTCCCACCTCTTGGATTTTTGGGTTTCCTACATTCCCTAATATCCATTTCACAAAGAGCAACTGTCAGCTTTGTTTCCAAATTTCAAACAAATTAAAGTACCCTAGTGTTCCTCTTCAGAAGCCTTTATGAAATACACTGCTGTCATCAAAGCCAGTATTTTTTAACCTGGGTTCTGTCAGAAGCTTTTGAACAAATCAGATTCCTGGAGTCACGCTTGCCTATAAGATTCTGATTCCGTAGGTATAGCGCAGGGCAAGGGCAGTTTTTGTTACCAAGCACTGGGGTTCTGATGCCCATGTTCTCCTGGTAATAAAACTACATTTTTTAAGGCAAGACAATGATCTTTTTGCCTTTTAAAGTAAGCCCACTCTCCCTCCCCGTGTCTTGTTACCCTTGTACCTGATTGCAGTCCAACGCCAGGATTTTTCTCGTTTCGTGTGTGTGCACTCCTGTGTTTTCCTTTTTAAAAGATAGAGTCTGAGGTTTAAACTACATCAGGGTGGAAAGAAAGTCTCAAGCTGTTGCTGACTACAGTCAGCTGCAGCCCATCTGGGATCTCTGGCAGAGCTGCCCGAAGGCCAGATCCAGTGGCTCCACCCTGTCCGTCTTGTGGACACGTTGCATGCCTGTGTGCCGAGTGCCGTATGCCACGATTGGCTCTCTGGTTGAGCACTGAGAGGGTTGTGGGGCTGTCACTGGACTGCAGTGTTCCATGTTCCATCCTACAAGTATCTTGCAAATTTCCCCCATGTACCCACCTTCCTAGCTAGGTTCTGGGATGCCTTCCTGGAGACCCAAGAGGAGATGCTTCCACCAAGTTCTCATTTGATTTGGACTCCCTTTTTACAATGCAAAATTCCAGGCTGTGTGCAGGGTGGGGTTTGTGATGGGGAGTTGGGGACTGGAAGTGACTGGGAAGGGGTTACCCTCTGTTGACTTTTGTATGTGTTTGTCAGGTACCTGTTTGTTTTACAACTCAGGCATGACATTCTTTCTGGAAAGTAAGTATGTTTTTGTTCTAACTCTTAACCCAGGATAGATCATAGTATATTTCTAAACAATTCAGTGTTTTAACTCTTTTGCCCTTGTTCCCTTTTCAAAATTCAAAAAAAGTGCACCAGGCATTGTAAAGTGAGTCTAATACTTGTATCACTGTCATTATCATCCTATTTTAAATGATTACTATATGGCTTGAAGCATTTCCAAGAGCATTTAATATCTTAAGTGATGTGTATTTGGGAATGATTCTCTCCCTGATCACATCACTGTCCCATTCATAATGGCTTTGTTGTATTTGCAAGCAAGATACGTTATTAGTATGTATACACTTACAAGTATTTGAACAGCTGAAACGTCTCATCCATCACCATCTGCATTAAGACTGTAAAGAGGTTATTTTCTGATTCCAATAAAAAGAGGCTTAGACATCTCATCTCATTTCCTGTTCCCCTCTTAAAAATAGTTTTTAAATACTAGGCCTTTGGCCACATACAATAATGATTGAGCTCAAGAAGCATTGCACTGAAGCAGTTGATTTCATATGCAATATTAATTTATTTTAAAGATGCGAGATTTCAGCAGTCACACCTTGCCCAATTGTTTCATTTCTCAGCCTACGTATCGAATATTTTCTGTGATGTGAAAAACTAAGGCTATATTGACTCTACAAAGCAAGAGCTCCTATTGACAAGAGGGCCTTTTCATTTTGAATATAAGCAGAAGGAAATGAAAAGCCTGATTTCCCAATTTGCAAACTCTCGCTAGATGATGTGCTGTAAAAATCACAGTGGACTAGACACTAGAGAACACGTAGATTGTACAGTGTATACATTTATTTGCCTTATTCAGCCACGCAATACAGACCTTTGGTTGGTGTGTGTACTATGAGTTCGTGCGTACTTCTCCCTCTCTCTCCATACTGTGCTCCTCATACTACAGGCCTTGTAACTCCAGAAGTTGTCTTCAGGTTGGAAAAATACTAATGGCGACCCCTTGCATTCCTGTAGTACTTTGCAGTTTATATGCACCTTGGCCTGATGGACTGTTCTAAAGAGCAGAACAGGGTTCTAGTCCCAGCCCTGCCTCCTACCAACCAATGACTTTGGGCAAGACCCCTTACCACTCAGTCCCTCACCTGTGAAATAGGGGGAGGGCACTGGCAGTAGCCCCCTAGGGGTTTACATTTTTCATGTGCCGGCCATTTGGATGATACATATGAAAAGGCTCTGAAAACTACAAAGTGCTATATCAATGTATGTCATTATTATTTTTCAAACTAAATTTGAAGTACTGAGTATGAATGAGATTACTGGCTTTGTGGTAATACTCTTCTGTGGCCACGCCTCAGTTATACTTATTAAAATGCTGGGTGTATCCAATTGTCCTAGCGCTGTTAGATAAGGTGTCTGTGTACTTATTTTTATAACACTGTGACCTTGTTTTAAGGACGATTCGGGCAGCTTTGAAAGACAAATGTACTATATGTCAAGATAAAATAAATTTAAAGTAAGTTTAAAAATAGAGGGAACGTTTTCTGTTCTGCTTTCAAGACTCCCCATTTTTGCCAAATTCGGTCAAGTTGTCCACGTAGTTGATAGAAACCACGCCTAATTTGGGTTATGTTGCTGTACAATGAGAACTAACTTTGGGAAACATTCAGCCAGCACGTTTGCAGTCTTTAATGTAGACAACAAAAATGTAAAACACTAAGGACAAACATGATTTCCCAACGCCACGTTCCTGATTTGAATGACATTATGCGTGATTGTAAGTACTTAAGTTCATGTTTAGTGTTCATTTCTTTTCTCTGTTTCAAGATTGAAATGCCCTTATGAAACGGCTGTGGAATTAGCTGCTCTCTGTCTACAAGGTACATGCATCTTTAGCAGTAATTCACATTTTAACGTTATTGCTTTTTGTCTCAACAAATGAGTGTCTACTGCCTACCAGGCCCATGGCTCCACTGTGGGGAGATAAATGAATGCCATGCAGTCTCTGTCCCCATGAAGCGCACTGTCCCGGGAGGAAGGCAGAGTGCAGTGTGGCTCTTTCAGGAACAAGATGAGTAGGAGACTTAGAAGAGGAAGGTCCCTGGGGAGAGGAGGAGAGGAAGGTGACTCATGGAACCAAGGCACGAAACAACAGTGCTAAGTGGTAGCCACAGCTGAGTGGTGTTGGAGGGTGGCTCAGGAAGCTGGATTGGTAGAGGACCTTAGATCCCAGTCAAAGAGCATTAACCTGGCGTGATCAGCAATGACGCCTTTGAAAGCTCTTAGCAAGAAGGCAGGCCTGACCAAATGTGTATTTTAGGAAGAGAGGAAAGATTGGAGCAGGCCTAAGGCTGAGACTGGGGGTGGAGGAGGGAGGCGGTGTAGCTGTAATAGAGGTAAAAGGAAACTGACTGGAGTGGGATTGGGTTGCACGTGTGTGTGTGCGTGCACACAGATAAGCAGCACTGGTGGTGCAAGGACTTGGTGATTAGACTTAGGTGTTGAGCAAGGAGTTGAAGATGATTCATAGTCTTGCTTCTGAGGGTGGGTGGTGGCCATGGTGAGTGACTGGAAGAATCGGGCTCTGGTGGAGGAGACAGTTGGCATAGGGCCTCTTAGTGGAGAGGTGCCAGGAGCTCCAGCAGCCTTGGGTATCTGAATCCAGCCCATTCAGAGAAGGCAGGCTGGAAGCGCTGGTTGTGGGGGTGAGGAGGGGTTCGTCACCATGTGGGTGGGAACTGGATGGTGGGAGGTTTGCCCACATGATCGTCAGTATCAGCCGAACGTCCATGTGATCCCCTGGTGGTGAGCAGTTTCCGCGCATAGGAAGCACTTGCTCAAGTCTCTGGCATCAGTGAAGAGAATGCGCATGTGTAATGGCACGTATGGGGTGTCGTCAGTGCATCAGGTGCACGTGTGCAGCGGGCTCCTTTGCCAGTGTGTCCATCAGCCTCTGTTGGATTATCCATTATGATATATATTCATTCATAATGAACAATTATTTGTGAATACCACGATAAGGTTTGACTTCCCCCTTTTGTGTTTTACCAGTTTTAAGAGGTTGAGAAACCTGAGAAGGTTTTTTCAAATGATAAAATCTGTACATGCTTACTGCAGAATGTCAGGACAGTAGCACAGCAACCAGGCAACAGGGAGGGAGGAAGAAGGAAGGATTAAAGAAAAGTGGGGAGCGAGGAAAGGGAGGGGAGGGGAGGAGAGAGAGTGAAAAGAGAGGAGGGAGGGAGAGAGGAAGAAAGGAACGAACGACCCCTCTGTCCTACCACCTGCAAACAACCAGTTTCTGAGTTTTGAGATTTTTAAAAATGTAGTTCTGGTTAGTTCTATATGAATATTTGTTTGTTTATTTAAAATTGATTCTTCCATTGAGCAAGAGAGAAAGAGAAAGAAGGGGAGAGACAGGTACCTCCAAAAGGGTCTTGATGCCACAGCCCACCCCCAGCCTATCCTGGATCATGGGCACCTCTGCCCAGTGCCCTTGGGGAGGTCTCCAGACTTGAAGCAGGAACTGAGATTGCCTTCCTGAGCTTCTCGTTTTACCACTGCACCACCATCTGGCTCCTGCAAGAGTCTTCGTGATTTTTTCCCTCGGTATTTTTAGATATATGTATTTGGTCATGTTATGAAGATGTCACTTATAAAGATGGCTTTTAATGACTGAGGATACTTGTCCCATCACTGACACATATCCTTAGACACTTTTGAATTCTTACTATCTGATGGGGACCTGGCCTAAGTAGATTCTCAGTAAGTACAGCATGAATTGGATGAATGAGGTTGGAAGGACTTCCCAAGGGAACCACCTGTGTGGTCTGAAGGCACTGGTGGTAGAGGTGACAGTAATGTCATCTACAGCATCTGCGCCACACGCAATGCTAAGTGCTTTCTACCCACTTCTCGTTTGCACCAACCCTTATGGTAAGTGCCATGACAGTATACATCACTTGGGGTATGTGGCAGCGGCCTATTCCCCAAGTGGGCCAGCTTAACAGGTGGCCTTCCCCAACCCTGAAGTTCCTGAGCTGCCAGGAAGACACACCATCTGGCTTAGTAGCCTAGCAGTAGATGTCAGAGAATAGCTAATGAGATGTAAGCTTCCTTGTCAGACCTGGGCCCATTAGATCATTGGAGAAGCTTCCTCCTAAGGCCATTGCAAACTTGCTCATTGCCCAGCATGACTAGAGAGTGAGGCACACGCATTAAGCACCCCGCTCTCCATGACCCCCGTGTGGTGGAGGCATCACCACGCTCATAAAGCCTGGTTTTAGGACCATTTGCCTTGCCCCCAAGCCCAGGCAGAGGAGAATAAGGTCAGCCCTGTGAACACTTCTTAGAGAGATTGCACATTTGAGCTGGAACCGCAACATCAGTGTAATTTAAGATGCAGCCATTCTGTTAGGTACAAATAAAAACAACATGGAGACTTGGACACATACGTGGGGAAGCCCTCATTGCATTGGCCCTCCGTCCCCCTCCCCTGCACCCATCTCCACCCATAAACGCTCTCTAGCCGGCTTTGAACTTCCACAGCAGTCAAGCTAGCCTGCAGCAGAATCTAAAGATCACTAGAGCATTTCTGTGGGTCTGAAGAAAATGAAGAGTTGCATTTCCTCCCGTGCCTGGTCTCAAAGACGTGTCTTGCTGCAGTTGTTCTGAAATTAATGGTGCCTCCTGAGGCATGATACAGTAGCCCTGCGTGTATGCTGTGCTTGATTGGGAGCTAGGTCTGTGATAGAGTTGAAAATTAATCTGGACAAAAAGAAAAAAGGAAAAGAAAGGAGGAGGAAGAATAAGACAACCATGTGCCCATGGTCTTGTTCCATCCCTACAACAATTCCCATTTCATGGATAAAGCATCAGAGACCCAGTTGCTAAGCAACTTGCCCAAGGTCAGAAAGATAGTGCTTGGTACCTTTGGGATTCAGGCCTCCTGGACCTGAGTTGTTCCCATCACCCTGGCTGCAGAGGTTGCAGACCGAGTGCCTGTTAAGTTTTTCCAGCAGATTCTTGGAAGGCAGGCATGCTTTCTCAGACTAGGCACACCAAGCATCATGCGGGCCTGTTTTAGTCCCATCATACATGGTGAGGTGGGATGCCAGCCTCTTGCGCAGTCCAAACTCAATGGAGAAGCCTCGGTACGGTCTGACTTCTCCCTCCAGTGCACAATGATGCTGGTGGTAGAATTAATCCTGACTCTTCCAGACTCAGCCCAGCACAGGGCTCTGTTGTCTCCCTTCAGCTCATGGAAGTGGGGAAGGGTGTTCATATCAAGAGACTCCCTTCCCAGACTAGACTACCACTCTGGCCCTGCCAGGTCCCTGGTTTCAGAGTAGCCTCTTGGTCAGAGGTGGCCTCCATTTCCTGTGGGCAGATTACTATTTGTAGAACAATATCTTAAGATTTTGTCCAAGGTGTGACAGACCACCCTGGGCCTTGGTCTTGGGGTGCAGTCAGTTCAGAGTTGCACCTGCAGGGGAGGAGCTGCAGCAGGTGAAGAGACAGTCACCAAGTCCCCACTATGTGTCAGGCACTGGCTCCTACAGTCCTCCCGCCATCCCTCTGTGTTTGGTATTAATGCTTCCTCTGTGTGGACACGGCCGTTTTATCTGTTTCTCCTGCCAACTATCTGGAGTTCCTCACCTGAACAGTGGGCTGTGGATGGAATATCCGCACCCCATGCTGGCCTGGTGAGGCCTGTTGGGTACATAGTGAATTGCTGTCCCTGGAGGAGTTGGGGCTTGTAGATGCTGCTTGGTCAGTTGGTGGGGTTTCCTGAGTCGAGCAGGGTTCTCAAGGTGCTCCCAGGGTTCCCAGGTCACCACATGGGCATCATCTGGGTTTCTTGGGCCTCATTCCAGACCTACTGAGTCAGAGTTGGGGCCCAGCCATGTTCTTATGCACGTTTAAATTCAAAACCCACAACTGTACCTCAGAGCATCTTGTTTTTTTTTTTCTGTTTTTTGTTTTTGTGGGTTTTTTTTCTTTTTTTTAAGAAACTTTTGTTATAGGGCGCATGCACTCACCAGAAAGACAAAGAGAGACAGAAAGTGAGAAATCCCACCCCCCCCAGGGGAGATGGCCACACTGCTGCAATCTCTTCTCCTTCATTCTCCTCTCGGGATCTTGGGCACGCACGCACACACGCTGGGCATGAGTCCAGGCACCAGGTCCAGGACCAAACCACAGTCAAGTACATGGGAGTCCAGCAAACATAGCCATTACACTAACTGCTGGTCCCACAGAGCATCTTGTTAAAAGGCAGTTCTGTTTGCGACTCTCTGGGGTGGGGTGGGGTTGGAGACTGCATTTCAAGCTGGCTCTCAGAGGGGGTGGGTGCTCTTGGTCCGTGGTCTTGGTCTTCGCCTTTCTGTGGCCAGGTATCCCGGAAACTTGGGAAGGTTCTTTTTCATTCTGGGGTCTGCTTCCTGAGCTGCTTTCTGAGCTGCTGGAGTGGGGGTGGGGACAGTGGATTTTTCACATTTGTATCCTGGAGGGGAGGGGCCGGCTGTGTCCTCAGGCCCTCATTCTGTGGGGGTCTTGGCAGGGGCAAGGAATTTGCAGCACTGTTCAATCTCTTGCTGGGATGGCGATGTGGCTGCTGCTCCATCCTGCACAGCTGTCTCCCTCCCAGGCTCTGCTTGACTTGCCGCAGTTGCTCCTGCAACCCCGTCGCCCCTCCTCTCTCTCCCTCTCTGACTCCCTCCCTCCATATTTTTCCCTGGATTCTGCGTGTACCAAATTCTTGATCCCTCGCCTCCAGCACTGCAGTCCCTGAAGTGCTGCTCTGCCTACCCTTAATGAGAGCCTTGTTAACTGTATGTTTCTAGGCAGATCCTCATTCTCCGCAATTGTCTTTTATTGCAAATTTGGGGCTCTATCATTTCATGGGGAAAATGTAATCTGTGCTTCCCTGGGTGGGAGAAACAGGCAGGAAAAAGACAGCAATAACTAAGAGGATGCTATATTTCCCCATGGGGAGGGCATTAAAATGATTCTTGAGGATTTCAAGGGTACAAATGGCTACCAAGTGAAAGTTAAATCCTCCTGAAAGGACGGAGTTATACCCCTGGGGCACCTGTGCATTATCATGCAAAATGCCTTTGGACCTGGTTGCAGCAGTAACCGAAAACATTTACTATCTCCTGTTTTCTTCCCTCTTATGAACCTTGCAGCGGAGCTCGGGGAGTGTGAACTTCCAGAACACACGCCAGAGCTTGTGTCTGAGTTTCGGTTCATTCCAAATCAGACAGAAGCAATGGAGTT